AGAACGCGAACGTAGGATTTGTTTTTATTTAATTACATAACTGCGATGAAGACGTGGACGCTGTCTTCAGTTTTTAAGGTCATGATTATTTGTGCTGCATTATCAGGAAGTCCGGTTGCTGTTATGTAACTTGAGCATTCTTCTTTAAACTTATATCAGGTTTTGAATCTGCGTAGGCCTCCGACGACAAACAATCCCCACATTTGACTCTTTTTCTGGATTTTTTTTCCTATTGTTTCAGCGAAGGGCATTAAAGGTCTTGATGTGGGTGGTTTTGGATCAGAAGCCGATCTGCTTATCAGATCAGAGGCTGAAATGACCCAAGCTGAACCATAATATCCTAAATCAGGGGAAACAATTGCCATTCAAATAAACTGTTGACTCAGCTGAAACGTAAACACTTGAGATTGAAATCCACACAAAAGCAAGTTTTAATGATTTTTTTCCCTCAATAAGTCCTGCTGACCACTTCAGTTCAGCTGTTCGGCTGTTCAGTTATGTCGATTAAGATTTTATAATTTGGAGGATAATGAGTCAAATATCTTCATGATATGGAGTAGTGTTAAATAATTTTAATAATACAAACAAGAAAAAAAAAATCAAGCTTCCGATCTAAAATACATCCAGTAAGTTTAGAAAAATGTTACAACCAATAAAAGACAAACATGGGAATCTGGAGTGTGTTTAAATTTACCAGCCTTTGGTTTTCCATTCTGAGGCACAATGAAAGCAGCTATTTATAATCTGTGCATGAAATTACAGCTTGTCTGAGCCAAAGCAACAATACTTTGGCAAAATTATGTGGTGAACACCTTTTTTTTCTTTGTATACCTCACGCATAATTGAGAGAAATTTCTCTTATTGCAGAATTAACAAAATAGTATAATATAGATGAAAACATGTAATTCAGATGGTAAGAAACTACAACATTTAATTTGTTTTTGACATTTTTAAGCACCACTTTGTGCATGCCTTAATAAAATAAGTTTCAAGTGTTTGTTTTTTTGTTTGTGTGATACTATTTAATATAAAAAAAACACATTTCTTTTAAACAATCAGATCTAACAAAACCTACTTACATTTCACTGCTTCACAGCTGTGATGTTGTTGCTTCTGAGACAAAGATGCATCTGCTGATCTGAGAGAAGCGCATGGTGTCGAGAAAAAGGGAGGTTATAGAGAAACGACACACACACACACACACACACACACACAGAGCCAAAGCAACCACCAGTCACACATGCACACAACGGCAAACTCATGCACAAAGATCAGCCATTAGATTGACTTACACCTGTGACGCTCGATCTGAGCTGTGCAGCTCCCCACTTCTGCAGCTCACCAATAATCACTCGGTATTAGGGGAGATTGCTTTGTTGTTGTTTTTTTTTTGTGAATACATTGCCCACCTCTGGGCGGGTTTGTATAGCAGGAGGTGTTCCGTTTAGGTGGATTTACCCTTTATTTTGCTTTCATGCTGAAAATTAGAGAAGAAAGCAATTATTACAATTATGTGAAGGAAATACTGAAAATGAATAAACAACAATAATAAAACATCTAAAGTTCTGTCCTTAAAGGGAGTTCTTATAAAATGTTTGAGTGAATTTCTAAAATAGTTGGTAAAATGACCATTTTACCAATTTGACACTTGAACTGGCTGTGTTTTTCACATCATAATGTAACTTTTGATTCTTTGTGCGTTCCTTTTCAAACAATGGATTTGGAATTAAACACTTATTAAAAAGGCAGAGCTGTAGTTAAAACGTTTTTCTTTTCTTTGATATACTATAGCATGTGCTTGCCAGTACAACTGCTAGCATAAAAAAAATCACAGATTTTACTGATAATCACAGAAGAAGTTTGCTGTCACGTCCTCTTCGCTGTTGGTTGTCAAACGTGACAATTGAGAAACAAAGATTATCACCAGAGAATGGAAAAACACCTATTTATTCTCTATAGCTGAAAACAAAATATCAGCAGCTTAAAAAAAACATATACGGACAGGCGATGGAGTCCAACAAGACATGTAGGTCCATACACTAAGTAAAAAAAATGTAAATTAAGAGACTAAAGTAATACAATAACAAGAACAGTCATAATATTATGAGAAAAAATTTTAATATGTGAAGAAAATTCTAATATTTAAAAAATAAAGTTGTAATATTAATTTTCTCTCGTAATATTATGACTTCATTCTTGTAATTTTATGACTTTATTCTTGTAATTTTATGACTTTGTTATTAATTGTATTATTTTTTTTAATGTCTAACACTCTGTTGTAGTCCAGTACATAAAATGCAAGAATTGGGTTGTAGAGCAGTAAATACAGCAGGATAATCTCTATCTGTCAAAACTGTCATTTTGACAGTAACTAAAATAATACACTGCAAAAATACATCGTTTTACCACATAACTTTGGTCTAGTTTATTGGGCAAATATCTTAGTTCACTTGGCAGATTGTTTCACTTATAATAAGACATTTTTCCCATGTTATGAGTAAATTAATCTGCCAATAGAACGAGGGCTTTTTTAAAAAAAAATCAATATTAAGGAATTATTGATTTAAAATAATTCCTAAATTAAAATATGCTACATCTTGCTGAAAATGTATAAGTTAGTTTGGTCTTATTCCAGGTGTAGTAAGATATTTGCACTAGAAGCTAAATGAAAAACACTTGTTAAGATTTTGTGAGATTTGGGTTGGCAGTATTTTGTTTTGTTGTAGACAACATGATTCTTTTTTTAATAGCCTGTAATTTTTGACAAATTTGATAGGGTATATGTTCTGTCAGTTCATGTCATAAGAGATTATGTTTCCTCTAAGCTATTAAATTAAACAATGTAAATTGAAAAGTATTTTTTTAGTCTCCTTTATTAATTATTTCTCATTAAAACAAAATTGGGACAACTTATCCCACAAACAGGTTGGTTGCCACAAATGCACAAGTTGTATTTGGTGTTGCACATCTTTAGACGAAAAAAAAAAACTGTGTCATAGGTGATTAGTTTATTCAGGTTCGGCAATCTTCATAACAATCGGCGTTGCCTGTACTGCCTGAGCCTGACGCTCCTTTTATGACGTCATCACAGGCGGCCACTTGTAGTTTTTAACCATACTTAACATTAACACCACAATATTATAAACAGCGTTTCCCTTTACACCGGAGCGGCCTTAAAAACGTACAAAAGACTAGATGCTAATTAGTTTTTTTCCCCATACATGCTAGGCTACATGACGGTGCGGCATTGTCTCCATAGGTACGGTTAGTGTATCTTCTCCATAATGTGATATTTGAGATATTTTTAATCATACTTACTAATAAAGTATATGAACGTTAATCTTCTTACCTTTTAAAAAGTGTTCGCTGCAAATCCGCGGTTACACCGAAGGCTGACAGTCATTATGATTGACGGCTGCTATCCATCGCTGCCTTATCTTTCCTCATTCAAAGTTATTAAAAGAAAATGACAGGTTTGATTTTCATCCTTGTCTGTGTGGCTGGCAGCGCGGCACCCTAGTACCATTTTTAAGGTGAAATCAACTAAATAGAAGCGATATTAGGTAACAGATGTCTGTTTTTAGACCAGCTTAAAGAGCGCATTGGTTGTTTTGACGTCTGTCATAAGTGGGCGGAGTTCTGGAGAACGTGACGTCACGTGACTTTTATTCTGTAAGTCACTGCTAACTGTGCTTTAAAATATTGGGAGATGATAACTGAAATGGCCCAAGGTGTTTACTAACTGAATCAAACTTTCACTGCTAATATGTAAGTTAGCTTTAATCAGTTTTTGTGCAAGTTTATGTGAATTATTGACATTTAGATCTCTAGAGATAGTTCACAACCCTAGGTGACCAGCGGTTCTAATGTAGGGTAAAGTAGAGATTTCCATTGCTGCACCTGTGAAGTGTTCACACCACCAAACCAGTGGCTGGGGTTATAAACACACACACACACACACACACACACACACACACACACACACACACACACACACACGGCCAACCCACCCCCCTCCACTGTCTCAGGCTGCAGCTGCTTTCTTGAAGTCTGGCAGCCATGCAGCAGAACTGAATCAAGTCTGTCAAATTCAGAGAGACTAAAACCTTTCGGAGACATGTGTTCCTTCAAAATAAAAGCACAGACACCAACTTACATAGTTTCCATTGTAAGTGGATGAAATGTTCCCTCAACAGATGCCATTGTCTGACGACATTAGGTGGTCGGTAGATTTGGAAAGCAGCTGGTTATATTTACTCAATTACATTTATTTGAGTAACTTAAAAAATACTTTTAGTAGTATTTTTACTGCAGTAATTACAAAGTAGCACTACTCTTACTGGAGTGAAATTCTGAATACTTTATCCACTGTGAGTAACTTCACCAGACACACACCTGCAGTTTTTGTTAAAGTTAACTGTTGTTGCAAATAATGCTAAGTTAACATTTTAATCCACTTTTAATTCAACTTTAAGTGCAACTTTACATTAAAAATGTCATTATTATTCAAATGGCACTTTATGACAACAGTTGTATTGTTTATGATGACTCCTTCATGTTCATAACAGGCATCATTTAGATTTTTGATCAGTTGCTCAGTACTTCAGAAGTATTTTACCAAATAATTACCAAGTAATCACTGTCAATCACTCTCTGTGTGACGCTGCTCATCCGCCCCCTCTTGCTCTCTGCTGTGCTATAGCCTGTTGTGAATGCTAGGCCAGTTAGCGTAACCACTGATGACAGCTGATAAATGGTTTTCCTGTAACAATAAGTTGTTTCTCAGCCATTAGCACATTGAGAGGCGAGTACATGAGGTTGACTGACAGCGCTAAGACCCTTCTCCTGTGTCTGATTGGTTGTTTTTGGTTAGGAGGGGTGCAGTAGTAGCTCAGGGAGGATTTAAAAGCATTTATTTTTTATATAAAAGCTACAAACTGCAACTTTACACTTTTAACAAGTTATCCGTATCTCTCATTTCTGGTTTACATTCTAAGGCTGAACTCGAACTTTATTCTGAAAGGACTTGGGATCGTTTCCTGTTTGTGCTTCGGGGCAACTTGACGAAACTTTCTCGGCTCTCTGGTTCTGTAAAGTTAAAGGAGTCGAGGTTTAGTTTGCCGCCGCCGGCGCCGCCTCCTCTCCGCTCGGCTGCAGGGGGACAGAGGACAGACTCTCACCAGACTCTCCTGCAAGGGGACACGGGCAGGTAAGACCAGGCGGTGCGGCTCCTGCTCCCTTCTTTTCTTCTCTTCTTTCATGCACAGATCAAGGTGGGGGGAGCAGGACTGATGCTGGCAGGACTCAGTTCTCAACTCTTACCTCTCCTGCCCCTGCAACACTGTTCCTGCTTAAGCTTTGCATGTCTTTCATCAAGATTTTGCGTGTTCTCTAGTTTCATGAAATGCACAAGTGCTTTTCTTTGGACTCGGTCTTTATTTCCTAAAGGAGTCTTCTTTTCCTCAGGAGTATATTTAGGCTGTGGTTGCCTCGGTGGCTGATGACACGGCAGGCTTATGCGTCTTTTGCCGGTCAGTGGATGATGTGGCTGTCAGCTGCCATCAGGTAACTGAAGGCTGGCATTGTTTCCTTCACCGGCGGGGGGAGCAACTCGCGGTTCTGCAAAAATAAAAGCACTAAATCCAGTTGCAGTGGACATGTCGGTGTCATCACAGCCAACTTTTACATTCTGCATGCACAGCTTATGTAACGTCATCCCAGGTAGCTCACAGATGTGCAACACAGTTACGCTTTTAAGTCAAATTCATCCTTTTGGTTCAATCAGTGCTGCTTTTGCAGAACTTTGTTTAGGTTTTAATGATACATTTTATATGTATTGTGGGTTGGAAAAGTATTCACACTCCTTGAACTTTTCCACATTTTGTCACATTAGTATGTAGTAAGTAAAAAAAAAAGGTATTTGGTAACAAAAAAAAGTAACTGATCAAATTACCAGTCATTTAACGTTATAAATTACATTATCAGATGGACCAAAATATAAAGTTAGGTGGAAATTTTGTTATTTTAAGGACGAAGATGACAATAATTCATATAAGTAACAAAAAATAACAAAATCAGGCAAAAGAAAACATTTCCAAATCAGTTTCTTTCATTAAAAGACTTATGAAACCTGAAAAAAAAAACGGTAGGTCTGTGTGTCTATGTCTGGTGAATTTATGTTTAGATGTTTGTTTTTCATTCAGCAGGTAGAGAATACAGAAATGTTACTCAAGTTAAAGTAAAACGTACAGTGTAGTGAAAATACTCTTAAGTAAATTTTTTCAAAAAGTTACTCTAGTTAATGTAATTGAGTAAATATAACTAGTAACTACCAAAATCTAGGAATTTACTGTGAAAGATCAACAAAAAGTGGGATACAAAATGGAAAATTTTACATGATTTAAAACAGTTTTCACAAATAAAAAACTGAAAAGTGCGGTGTGCAAACGAACTTGACTAATTGCCTTCAGAAATTGCCTAATGGCTGTTAATTATTAATCTAATCTCAGTACAGATGCAGCTGCTCTGTTAGAGCCTTAGGTTGGTTCACAGCAGGACATTTTTACAAATAAAAAACTGAAAAACCGTGAATGACACGAAGTCCCTGAGAGAACCTCAGAGAAAACATGCAAACGCGATGCAGAAAAATCTTCCATTCTTCCTGCTGCAAGACAATAGTGTCACCAACTTCACTGCAGAAGGACGTTTTGCTGAGTTTTCTTTCTGTTAAAACATTCCTGTTTCATGCTTTACTGTCAACAACTCGGTGTGAAACTTGCCCTTGAAAACACTTGAAAAGGTTTTGATTCTCAGTTTCCTCAAGGCTGCGGTTGTTGCTGCAGCTTTTTCTGCCACATGTTTTCCTTCCACTCAACTTTTCATTAACATGCTTAGATGCAACACTTGTCCATAATTTTGTGTAGGACAGAAAATTACATAAAAATCCCCTTTTTGTTGGCCTATGTAATATTTTTGGGTTTTGATTATCTGAGTTTTGAAATAATGGTTTCTCATATCGCTCTGTAGGTAATAAATTTAATACCTAGAGGTATATTTTGAATTAAATAAGAAAATTCGACAACATTTTTGAAGATTTTCAAATTTATTAAGATGCTTTTGCGTTTTTGTTCCAAGAATATCCAAAATATCCATATTTATTATTAACATTATGGGGAAAAAAGTGGATTCAAACTGTTTTTAAAGTTGCTGACAACTTTGATGTTTGGCTGCAACTAACAGTCATTTTAGTAATTGATTATTTTGACACCTAATTGATTAATTTCTTTAAAAAATGGCACATTCTGCAGATTTTTTAATTCACCATTTAAGCTTTTTTATACAATATTTGGAATACATTAAAAAGTGCAAATAAAAAAAATCCTTTTAAAATTTCATTCCATAAAATACAAGTTTATATTGTTACAAAGTATGGATCTGCTAAAGAAATACTTGAAAGGCTCAGGACTTTGACTAAACATCTGTACACTGTAGAGCTCATCTGCTGATTTTTTTTTTATCTTTTAATGGATAAAAATTTTAGGTGAAGCTAAAACTTGACAAATATCTTTTTTTAATCTTAAATGCAAAATGTCTAGATATTGCTTGCACAGTTTTGGCCTAATTACTAATCCGAGTTTGTTGTTCTTTTAGAAAATTACCTTTTTTTGATTAATCAATTATTAAATTAGTTGACCATTATTTATTCACGATTGTTCTGATTAATCGTTTACTTGGATCATCAGTTTTATAGTGATACTGATTAAATGATGCTAAATGTGAGGAACTTCCTGTTCTGTGACAGTCATTTTGTGCATATTAGCAGTTTTGGATCGCTGCCTCAGAGCATTTAAAAGGCAGAGTAAGAAAACCCTCTGCTACTATCTGTGTGCTCTGTTCCCTTCACTCCTGGCTTGCTCGCTTTGTGTTGAGTCAGCTCTCTCTCTCTCTCTCACTAAATATTGTTTCAGACTCGAGAGGCACATTTTCAGAGCGAGGGGAGCACATCCGAAGCTCTCCCGCCTGTTTACGTTCCCACTTTTCATCTGCACTCTGTTTATTTGGGGAAATCTGCAAAGGAATGCCAGGCCTCTTTCTCTCTCTCTGTCTTTGTGGCAGACAGAGAGTTTAGTCTGAGATGTAGCTTTCTCTCTCACCTGTTTGGGTTTTCTTTTAAACATGAAGATTCGCTTGATTCTAGACTTCATATTTCTATAATGAAAGCAGAATTATGACGTTGGACTTACGAGCCATTTGATCTCCCCCCAAAGCCCAAAGTCCTATTAAAAATGACTGCCAGTTTAATGAAATAATAAACTGAACCTAAAACTGATTCATGAGCTACTCCCTGATCAAAGTGGAGGCAGTTTGGGGGAGAGTGCTGCTCTCGGAGCTAAGCTGTGGGACACTTAGCATCTGTTCACTCCACACAGACTTTACTTTGAGCCGGTCATATGGCTTTGATTAGCGTACTTTGGTTTCGGATAGCTCCACTCTCCCTGGCAGCAGCTAAAGACAAGGACATCATAATTAGCTCCAGCATTTAAAGGAAAAAGCTTCAAAGGGGACCTATTATGCAAAACTTGCGTTTTGTACGTTTTTGTACTTCCTTTTGGGTCTCTACTGCTTCTAAAAACAGACCTTACAAAAGAACCACCCAGCTGCTTTTTAGTGATAAGTTCATGTTTTTTGGTGTCTGGAAAATGAGTCGCTTCAAAAACCTCTTGAATGTAACGTCACAAATCAGCAGGCATGTCTCGTTGCCCAGCAACCTCAGAGAAGCCCATACTGTTACCCAGCAACACCAGTGGAGCTCCACCCATCACCTAGCATCCAGAGCTAGTGTTTAGTTGTTGACTTACCATCCAGAAACCACTTGCTGCATTCATGTTTGTTGTCCAGGAGGCTCTACTAATGCTTTTCAAAATGTATGGTTGTATAAATGCGCATCTGTTTGCGGCCATTTTCATGTGTGAGTGTAAATATTGAGCTGGGAGGTATGGTTAGCAGCAGTTTATTTGGATTTAAAGGGGCACAAAAGCAGCTAAAAATAAAACTAAGCTAAAATCTCATTATCCAAGAATGATTTTGTCCAAAAAATGTAATGAACATGTTTTTTCTATAGAGCTGTCGTAACCTGTTCAAGGTAGCGTAATAGGTCACCTTTAAGTGTGAAAAGCATCACACACTGCTAACCAAGAAGATGATCATGAAGATGTTTTGACTTCATTGCATTAGAGTTTGGCTCACCTACATCACATCCAGCTTTTCTCTGCCTTTCTAACAACAAGCCTTTTCTTTTCTGCCCTGCAAGCTGCGATAGCGTTGGAGGCTGTGTGGCCTGTCTGCAGCCCAGACCACTTTCCCTGCTGGCCACGGCCGCAGCTGTACGCTCCTTTTTCACAGCTCATCCAAGCAAAACACGGAGCGGAGAGTTTTGTCGCTTTGGCCTGCTGACAAACATGCGTTTTTGTTTCACAAAAATGATATGGCCCAGAGGGAAGGTTTTACACAACACACCGCAGGAAGATGTACAACGCCGTCACCTCTGCATGACAGCCCACTCTCAATTATATGTGGAGTAATATTTCATAGGTGGAAATGGTGCAGGAAAGTGCGTGTGTGTTGTTGTTGTGGGGGATTTCTGAGGGGCTTTGCTTTAAAAAGCTCTTAGGGTCAGCACCGGGGGTCCTTTCCTCCTCCCTCCTTCCTGGGTTTAAATAAACACAAGGAGAGTTAATGGTAATGAAAAGCATTTGATATCAAGCAGCCGAGTTTAATATGCTAACAATAAATTGTAAGCGGGGAGGAGGAGTAATGAAAATGGAGGGGAGTTTAGCTCTTTCGCAGGAAATGACTGGGAAAAAGCCAGAGGGAGGGGGATGAGAGAGGGAGTTTTTTAGTTGTTCTGCTTATGAGGGACGCTGCAACAGCACAAAGACCCATTAGTCTGCTTTTACTGTATCGGCTGTACATTACTCCTCCTGACATGAAGCAGGAGACGCTTTTCTCATAATTCCTCAACTTTCGGTTTAAAGTATGTTTTTATTTTTTTTGCCTTCCTCTTTTCAGGAGGGAATTTGTTCCCCTCTGCTATCATCACCAAAAGGTTTCCCATCTGCCTCTGATTACCTTTGGCTGCAGTTGGTTAGCTGCCAGTCATCCGGGCCAGTGTGGCGTCTCCGCTCACTTTTGAATCCCCAAACGGCTCGG